ATTTATATAGTGTATAAACAGAGCGAGCCCTGCTTCTGTCCATCTATGGATTTATATAGTGTATAAACAGAGCGAGCCCTGCTTCTATCTATCTATGGATTTATATAGTGTATAAACAGAGCGAGCCCTGCCTCTATCTATCTATGGATTTATATAGTGTATAAACAGAGCGTGCCCTGCCTCTATCTATCTATCTATGGATTTATATAGTGTATAAACAGAGCGAGCCCTGCTTCTATCTATCTATGGATTTATATAGTGTATAAACAGAGCGAGCCCTGCTTCTATCTATCTATTGATTTATATAGTGTATAAACAGAGCGAGCCCTGCTTCTATCTATCTATGGATTTATATAGTGTATAAACCGAGCGAGCCCTGCTTCTATCTATGGATTTATATAGTGTATAAACAGAGCGAGCCCTGCTTCTATCTATCTATGGATTTATATAGTGTATAAACAGAGCGAGTCCTGCTTCTATCTATCTATGGATTTATATAGTGTATAAACAGAGTGAGCCCTGCTTCTATCTATCTATGGATTTATATAGTGTATAAACAAAGCGAGCCCTGCTTCTAGCTATCTATCTATGGATTTATATAGTGTTTAAACAGAGTGAGCCCTGCTTCTATCTATCTATCTATGGATTTATATAGTGTATAAACAGAGCGAGCCCTGCTTCTATCTATCTATGGATTTATATAGTGTATAAACAGAGCGAGCCCTGCTTCTATCTATCTATGGATTTATATAGTGTATAAACAGAGCGAGCCCTGCTTCTATCTATCTATGGATTTTATATAGTGTATAAACAGAGCGAGCCCTGCTTCTATCTATCTATGGATTTATATAGTGTATAAACAGAGCGAGCCCTGCTTTTATCTATGGATTTATATAGTGTATAAACAGAGCGAGCCCTGCTTCTATCTATCTATGGATTTATATAGTGTATAAACAGAGCGAGCCCTACTTCTATCTATCTATGGATTTATATAGTGTATAAACAGAGTGAGCCCTGCTTCTATCTATGGATTTATATAGTGTATAAACAGAGTGAGCCCTGCTTCTATCTATGGATTTATATAGTGTATAAACAGAGCGAGCGCTGCTTCTATCTATCTATGGATTTATATAGTGTATAAACAGGGCAGGCCCTGCTTCTATCTATCTATGGTTATATAATTGTATACAAAACAGATCGAGCCCGGCTTCTATCTATCTATGGATTTATATAGTGTATAAACAGAGCGAGCCCTGCTTCTATCTATCTATGGATTTATATAGTGTATAAACAGATCGAGCCCTGCTTCTATCTATCTATGGATTTATATAGTGTATAAACAAAGCGAGCCCTGCTTCTATCTATGGATTTATATAGTGTATAAACAGAGCGAGCCCTGCTTCTATCTATCTATGGATTTATATAGTGTATAAACAGAGCAAGTCCTGCTTCTATCTATCTATGGATTTATATAGTGTATAAACAGAGCGAGCCCTGCTTCTATCTATGGATTTATATAATGTATAAACAGAGCGAGCCCTGCTTCTATCTATGGATTTATATAGTGTATAAACAAAGCGAGCCCTGCTTCTATCTATCTATGGATTTATATAGTGTATAAACAAAGCGAGCCCTGCTTCTATCTATCTATGGATTTATATAGTGTATAAACAGAGCGAGCCCTGCTTCTACCTATCTATGGATTTATATAGTGTATAAACAGAATGAGCCCTGCTTCTATCTATCTATGGATTTATATAGTGTATAAACAGAGCGAGCCCTGCTTCTATCTATGGATTTATATAGTGTATAAACAGAATGAGCCCTGCTTCTATCTATCTATGGATTTATATAGTGTATAAACAGAGCGAGCCCTGCTTCTATCTATCTATGGATTTATATAGTGTATAAACAGAGCGAGCCCTGCTTCTGTCCATCTATGGATTTATATAGTGTATAAACAGAGCGAGCCCTGCTTCTATCTATCTATGGATTTATATAGTGTATAAACAGAGCGAGCCCTGCTTCTATCTATCTATGGATTTATATAGTGTATAAACAGAGCGAGCCCTGCTTCTATCTATCTATGGATTTATATAGTATATAAACAGAGCGAGCCCTGCTTCTATCTATCTATGGATTTATATAGTGTATAAACAGAGCGAGCCCTGCTTCTATCTATCTATGGATTTATATAGTGTATAAACAGAGCGAGCCCTGCTTCTATCTATCTATGGATTTATATATGCGTGATTGACAGACTTCCTCGAGTCCCACTCCCTGCTAGACCCGCTTCAGTCTGGTTTCCGCGCTAAACACTCTGTGGAAACGGCACTGACCAAAGTATCCAATGATCTACTCGCTGCAAAATCTCGTGGTCACTACTCTATCTTAATTCTCCTTGACCTGTCTGCGGCTTTTGACACTGTTGATCATCAACAGCTTCTTCTCATCCTCCGCAATATCAGTCTACAATATATTGCTCTCTCCTGGTGCTCCTCCTACCTCTCCCAGCGCTCTTTCAGTGTTTCTTTCTCTGGCTCTGCTTCTTCTCCCCAACTCCTCTCTGTTGGTGTCCCCCAAGGTTCAGTCCTTGGTCCCCTATTGTTCTCCATCTATACTGCCTCCCTTGGTAAACTCATTAGCTCCTTTGGCTTCCAATATCCATTTCTATGCAGAAGACACGCAAATCTACCTGTCCTCTCCTGATCTATCCCCGTCCCTCTTGACTAGTGTCTCTGACTGCCTCTGTGCTGTTTCTTACTGGATGGCTGCCCACTTCCTTAAACTAAACTTGACCAAAACTGAATTTCTGGTCTTTCCTCCCTCAAGTGTTGTTACTCCTGTGTCTGTCTCCCTCCAAGTCAACGTTGCTACCATCAGCTCCACCACGCAGGCTCGCTGCATAGTTGTTCTCTTTGACTCTGACCTCTCCTTCAAGCCTCATGTTCAATCTATCGCCAAATCCTGTCATTTCCATCTCAAAAACATTGCGCGCATTCGCCCCTACTTAACGTCAGATGCGACTAAGGTGTTGGTCCATTCCACTGTCCTTTCTTGCCTTGACTACTGTAATCCGCTTCTCAGTGGTCTTACGTGCTCCCAGCCCTGCTTCTATCTATGGATTTATATAGTGTATAAACAGAGCGCCCTTATAGTGAGAACAATGGGTGAAGCACATGGTGAGAACAATGGATGGCGGCCATTTTAACTCACAGACACTGTTTGGACTTTTCTACACGGTGCCATCTCGCCGGTATTTGGTGCACAAAGACATTGTGCAGTAGTTTTAAACTATACAACAGGGGACACATTATACAGTAATTATTTTTCATATAGCCTGTATATGTTCTGCGGAATATGCATTAAACTGTATCTTCCAAACTACTGAACGGATCTGGGTGAATTTTGGATATACTTTTTATGGGGTTATTGCATGTTTTGGGGTCCCTGTGATATGTTTTATAATACTATATTTCTCTGCCTGTGATAATTATATTAACCATTGTGTTCAGTAATCATATCACAGGCACAGGGGAGCATTTTGTGTGGGAGTGTCTGTGTGTATTGTATGGATTGATTGGTTGTATTTCAAAACCCTGTGGGCTGTACTATGTTTGTGGATTGTGAATAAAAGAGGCTGTACGTGCCAGTACAGTCAGTTCTGCTTGACCTCAAAACGAAGTGTCGTCTCATTATTGGGGTAATTGGATTGTATGCTGATTGCCAGGAGTGTAAACTGATTGTATGCTTTTCCTGTTCAGCTGTTTGCAGCAGTCATATCCTTGAGAGTATTTGTATGCTTCTCCGGTTCAGTGGTTGTGGTGTCTGCTGCAGTGCTTGGAGTCCTCAGGAAGCGCTAGGAGCATCCTTCAACAGAGGTACCCAGTCGGGGTGCCAGGTGATCCGTTACATTAGTATTTAGGGCCATACTCAGGGGTGGGGACCAGGGGGAGGGCAATTGGTCCCCCTCCATTATTTTACATTATGGCCCCCATCCGCCGCTCGGGGGGGGGGGCAATTTTTATTTTTATTTTTATTTTGTATTTTTTACTGTTTAATAGACATGCCCCTACTCACAGTGTTAGAAAGTAGGGGCATAATTTACTAATACTAAGTAATCTTTACTTGGTATTAGTAAATTTGGCGGAAAGACCAATTTGGGTCTTTCAGCCTTTTAGTAGATAACTCCCTAATTCCCACGGTATTATCGAGCTATCTACTTATTAATTCCTGTCAATAAATTGACAGGCTAAGTAACTTACATTTTATATGAATGTGTGTTACTTGGATGATGTAAATGTTGCAAATGCTTACAGCTGAATCCTGGCTATGTTTGTATACTTTTTATTTAAAATTGTATACAATGTAACATTCTTCTTCTTTCACTGGGTAAGTATATTAGTACTCGGGCAATACTGTGCTTCTGACCTTCGGAACTTCGGAAATTCGACACTTCGGAAATTCGGACATTCGGAAGTACCCTAATGTCCGAATTTCCCGAAATTCAGCAGAATTCATATTCGGTCCGAAACAAATTGCACATGTCTACTGTTTATCTATGTAATCTGCTTTTGACCAGAGCGAAAGATTGTATTTCTTACCAGTTTTTTGTGAATCAATAAACATATATGTTTGCTGCTGATGGAAGGAAGAATAACTGAGAAGTAAAGATTCTTAGTACACTGTCAGTTTTTTAGGGGACCTATTTTTAGACCATATTGAGATTGAAATCCTCATAGTATTTTAGTTGTGATATTAAGCTCTGAGATAAAGCTATGCACTAACATGTCTAAAATCCCTGGAAGCCCATTTCCTCCTGCCTTTATTTAACCAGTAATGCTTGATTCTACGTTGCAGGTGGCTCTCTGCTCATACCAGTTGGTGTATTTACCAATGCATTAAGCTGCTTCATTAAGTATCGTCACATCAGGTCGCATTGTACCACCTGGCTAGACTGCGCCAAAGAACATAATGGAGGTTGGTACAGTGACTCGCAAGTGGAAAACACGAAGGCTCTCGGGAGGCTAGTCCCACTCTTTGCTTGCCAGGTTCTCTACAGAATTTGTGCCACACAGGTGAGCTGTTAGATATTGTATAAATCAGTCTACGCATGGCTGTGAATTGGGATACGAAGGCTATTTATTGCCTTACATATAAATAAGTTATGGCATTGAACAATGTCTCTGTAAGGATGTAATAAACAACTTTTTCCTTTTT